TTTATGTCAGAGTGTTCTGCCTATGTTTTCCTCTAAGAGTTTTACAGTGTCTGGCCTTACATTTAGGTCTTTAATCCATTTTGTATTTATTTTTGTGTATGGGGTTAGGGAGTGGTCTAATTTCATTCTTTTACATGTACCTGTCCAGTCTTCCCAGCACCACTTATTGAAGAGGCTGTCGTTTCTCCATTGTATATTCTTGCCTCCTTTATCAAAGATAATGATTAATCTCCAAAATTTACAAGCAGCTCATACAGCTCAATAACAAAAAAAACCAAACAACCCAATCAAAAAATGGGCAGAAGACCTAAATAGACGTTTCTCCAAAGAAGATATACAGATTGCCAACAAACACGTGAAAGAATGCTCAACATCATTAATCATTAGAGAAATGCAAATCAAAACTACAATGAGATATCATCTCACACCGGTCAGAATGGCCATCATCAAAAAAATCTAGAAACAATAAATGCTGGAGAGGGTGTGGAGAAAAGGGAACACTCTTGTACTGTTGGTGGGAATGTAAATTGATACAGCCACTATGGAGAACAGTATGGAGGTTCCTTAAAAAACTACAAATAGAACTACCATATGACCCAGCAATCCCACTAGTGGGCGTATACCCTGAGAAAACCATAATTCAAAAAGAGCCATGTACCAAAATGTTCATTGCAGCTCTGTTTACAATAGCCAGGACATGGAAGCAACCTAAGTGTCCATCAACAGATGAATGGATAAAGAAGATGTGGCACATATATACAATGGAATATTACTCAGCCATAAAAAGAAACAAAATTGAGTTATTTGTAATGAGGTGGATGGGCCTAGAGTCTGTCATACAGAGCGAAGTAAGTCAGAAGGAGAAAAACAAATACCGTATGCTAACACATATATATGGAATCTAAAAAAAAATGTCATGAAGAGCCTAGGGGTAGGACGGGAAGAAAGACACAGACCTACTACAGCATGGACTTGAGGATATGGGGAGGGGAAGGATAAGCTGTGATAAAGTGAGAGAGTGGCATGGACATATATACACTACCAAGCGTAGGGTGGATAGCTAGTAGGAAGCAGCCACATGGCACAGGGAGATCAGCTAGGTGGTCTGTGACCACCTAGAGGGGTGGGATAGGGAGGGTGGGAGGGAGGGAGATGCAAGAGGGAAGAGATATGGGAACATATGTATATGTATAACTGATTCACTTTGTTGTAAAGCAGAAACTAACACACCATTGTAAAGTCATTATACTCCAATAAATATGTTAAAAAAAAAAAAAAAGTCAGAGAGGCTTCAGGGCCAGGAGGTAAGAAGCCTGAATTTCCTGAGTTTCCCTTTCAGTGTAGAACCTCTTCTGCAAGACTTTAAGCAAGCCCCTTCGGCAATCTGGGCCTAGTTTCCTTCCAGCTTGAATTTCCAAGATTTCCTTAAGAAGAAGAGCAGGCTACCTCTGCATCTGCACGAAGGGGCATCTGGGTCAAGAGATATGGAGGAATTTTCCATGACTCCTTGGATCCCCTCCTTTATATTTATGAAACCCTCTGAGGGCACTTCAAAACTCAGTCAAGCAGTTAGGGGAAGAGCTACCAGTATCTTCTACAGATCACCAGCACTCCTCCCCTGCCCCCAAAATTTAACATAAAATAGCCTGTGAGGGGACAGGTTTTTCCAAAAGGTGCTGGGGATACGTGCAGGGCTGAAGGTGGCTACAAAGAGGATGGAAATCACCCAGCACCCGCCTACATCAACACCAACCCACCCCTGCTGGACTAGAAGAATGATTTCCAAGGGACTGGGACCCACTCCACAGCTTTCAAATGGTTCTCAGTGGGGTCTGTTACCCCTAAACACGTTAAGGAGCACTGCACCAGAGAAGAGGGGAAGACTGGGTGAGAGGAAATGGAGGAAATGGCCTGGCACCGAGGGGATCTTTATGGATAGTTTTGATCCAAACGGGTGAATTGTCCCAGTTCACTCAAATCGTTTAATTCAAATTTTACATCATGGATTCATAGAATCTTCAAAGTACAGAATTTTGAAATGTGTTATTAGAATAAAACATTTATGGAATAAAAGTTTTAAGATCCTTTGTTCATGAAAATCTTAGAATAATAATCTTAATAAATCTAATCTCAGGATGCTAAGGCTTGGTCTGTTGCACAGGTGTAGCTCAGTAGCCACAAAGTTTGAGAAAAAGGAATCAGTTTTCTAGAATGGGTCCACAGTCACAGAACAATGAGGATCAAAATATCGTGAGACATGGAGGCTTCTAACCATAGTAATTTGAGCTTAAAAATCTCTATCATAAAGTCATTAAAGCATATGGTCACAAATATTATAAGAATTATTAGATTATTTGAGTTATAAAATAGTGGATCTAGAACTAATATTTTAGAATTAAATAAGAAGAGAGATGTGGATATATAGGACCCAAATCTTCCAATCAGACATTCCTAGACAGGAACTCAAATTAAGTTATATGTACCTTAGAGCTGCAATAATATCTAAAACCTAGAGAAGCTACAACTCCCAGTAGTGACATCATATTTTCAGGCACAAAATCTTACTCCCAGCATCTTAAGATATGGGGAATACTCTTTTACACTCTGACCAGAAGCTTAAAGTCATAGGAATATAATCACAGTCAAATAACTTAGACTTCTGGTCATGGAATCTTAGAACAACAGAATCACATTATTTGATTTATGGATTCACGTTAGGATAGTGGTCCAAAATTTAACGTTTGGAAATCTGAATCTTGGAAATACAGAGAACCACAAACTCCAGTATTAAAAGATTGCTATAATGTATCTGGTTAAAATGTTAAAACATTTTTTTTCCCTTTGAAAAAACGTAACAGGATGCAACCTGGATTTTCGTAGCTTCGTTACTTTGGAAGAAGGAAGCTGGGAGGTTTCTGAGCGAGTGAAACGCCCCTCGCGTCTTTTGAGCATGAATCCGCCGAGGAAGGTCTTTATGCAAACCGTTCAATTTGCTTCCACACCCGGGTTGCCGGAGCGAGGATCTGAACTCTTTGCCTCTTTCTTCCGAAGGCAGTTGCCCAATGCTTGGTGGGGCTGAACCTGCCCGGAGCTCATCTCCACGAAGAACGCGACTAAAGCCCCTGAAGGCCGCCGCCCGCACTCTCGCGGCTCTCTCCGCCCAGCCCTCCACCCGCAGCCCCGCGGAAAGCTGCGTCTCGGCCGGAGCCTGAAATCCTAAGGGTAGAACGCCCCACCCCTGAGATCCGCACATGCTTTCCCGCCCCCAGTTCTCAGAGGAGAAAATTGAGGGCTTGTGACCGGGAAGGGACAGGCCCAGGTTGTCCCTGCGAACCCAGACCTGCGGGTCCGCCGCCGCAGGCGGTCTTGAGCAAGGCCGAATCAGGGCTTAGGGAGCTGGCGGGAAACGAACTCCGAAACTGGACACCCGCGAAGCGGACGGGTCCCGTCTGCCCGCCCCTTCCCCGGGAGACTCGCCTTCCCAGAGCGCCGCCAACCCCGGCCCCCACCTCTCGAAGCCCTCCGTCCCGCTGCGGGAAGGGGCTGCTCGGCTGCCCCCGGAGGTCTTGGGAGCCACTTGGAGCCTTCCTGGCTGGGCGAACTGGAGGAGAAGGTTGCCGCGAGAGGCAGAAGCCTAGCCTCCATCCTCTTTAAGCTGTGAGTCACTCCACATCATATAGAGAGGGGTCCCGAGCCACCCAAAGATAAAAGATTGGAGGGCGGGGGAGAGACGTGTTGCGGCCTTTCGCTAAATATCAGCAATTGAGATACAAAACCTCGGTACAGTGGAGGAACCCGGAACCCACCGAGGGAAAGTGGCTACCTCTGGTGCAGGTCGAGGAAACGCACTCCCACCAGAGACGCAGGCAGGTGTGAGGTTCGGCTAAACTGCGAAGTCGCGGTGGAACCGTGGCAAGTCACCTCCTCTATCGGACCTAGGGATCCTGCCTGAAGGAGGAGGGACTGGATGGGGAATGGCCAGGGCAGCCTTGAGTTGGGGTTTGAAAATAAATCATCCTTGAAAGACCTTGGAAGCCGTCACCTGGAGCGTCTTCTCCCTTCCTCGTCCCCCACCCTCAAGAACCAAGCGCCCCTCAGCCAATTCTCACCCTCTCCAGCCAAAAAAGGTGAGGCGAGCCCTTCCTTTCACCTGCGGGTCCCAGCCTTCTATAGAGGCTGGTAAAGTCCCGAAGCGCTGAGTTCGGGCGCCGAGGTCTCCAGAGACAGTTCCTGGCCTCTCCCGACCTCAGTCTCCCCGTCGGCGCGCAGAGAGGACCGGCCCAGGAGACCTCCAAGGGACCTCCATGCTCAGACCGTGTGGTGTACCCGCCGCGCCGCCACAGCATCTCCTACCTGGGGAGGTGCGCCGAGGCCCAGGGGGCGGGCAGTCGGGGGGCGGGCGGGGAACGGGCACCGCCCCAAGCTTCCTGGCGCCTTTAAGGAGGAGAAACCCGCGGAGGGAGGAGCCGGTCCGGGTGTGTGCAGGGAAGCGCCTCGCCAGCGGTCTTGGCGGCTTGAGGCCAACCCTGCGGAGAGGAAGAGTCGCCGGCCACCCCGCCTGGCCCGCGCTGCAACCTCGCCGCCGTCGCCTTGCCTCGCCTCCTTGCCCTCCGCGCCTTCGGCGGCCCCAGCCACAGGGGCGCCGCCTAGGCGGCCCCCACCAGAGTGTCTCCACGCCTGCATTAACTGCTCTCGTTTCAGACCTTGGTGCCCGCAGCCTCCTCTGCGCTCAGGACCTCGACGGTTATCCTCAGATCAGCAGGAAGCCCAGAACTGATGCAGGCGCCCCAGCCCAGGACCAATTCCAGACCCCGTGATTTCCTGGCACCAGCGCGCAAAGGACCCTTCAGCCCGCGACAGGAGCCTCGTCCGGGTCCCAACGTCGCTGCTGGCGCCTGGCTTCGAGCTCCAGAACACGAGCAGAGCCGTCGGTGGGCGGGACACTCCTGAGCCTCTGTCCGCACTGAGCCAGCCCGGAAACTACGGGCGCCAAAGCTCCTGCGCGCCCCTGCCACGAAAGCTGTGCTCCCGGTGCCAGCTGCGAGGACACCCTGAGCTTTCTAAAGAGGGCCCCAGCGTCGGTTCCCGTTACCCTGCATCCCGGGCCCCGCAGCTCCCAGCCCCTCGACAGCAGCGGGCAGCGGGGACGCCCCAGGGACGCGGGACGGCTGCGCCATGACGGCGGAGAGCGGGCCGCCACCGCCGCCGCCGCCGCAGCCGGAGGCGCTGGCGGCCGTGAAGGAGGAGCGCGGTGAGGCGGGGGCCGGGGTCCCGGCAGAGGCCGCGGGTCGCGGCGCTGGCGGGCGGCGGCGGAAGCGCCCCCTGCAGCGTGGGAAGCCGCCCTACAGCTATATTGCGCTCATTGCCATGGCCATCGCGCACGCACCGGAGCGCCGCCTCACGCTGGGCGGCATCTACAAGTTCATCACCGAGCGTTTCCCCTTCTACCGCGACAACCCCAAAAAGTGGCAGAACAGCATCCGCCACAACCTCACACTCAACGACTGCTTCCTCAAGATCCCGCGCGAGGCCGGCCGCCCGGGCAAGGGCAACTACTGGGCACTCGACCCCAACGCCGAGGACATGTTCGAGAGCGGCAGCTTCCTGCGCCGCCGCAAGCGCTTCAAGCGCTCTGACCTCTCCACTTACCCGGCTTACATGCACGACGCGGCCGCCGCTGCTGCCGCTGCCGCCGCCGCCGCCGCTGCCGCCATCTTCCCGGGCGGGGTGCCCAATGCGCGCCCGCCTTACCCGGGCGCTGTCTATGCAGGCTATGCCCCGCCGTCGCTCGCCGCGCCGCCCCCGGTCTACTACCCGGCTGCGTCCCCAGGCCCGTGCCGCGTCTTCGGCCTGGTGCCTGAGCGGCCGCTCAGCCCAGAACTGGGCCCCGCGCCGTCAGGGCCCTCCGGTTCCTGCGCCTTTGCCTCGGCCGGCGCCTCTGCCACTACCACCGCTTACCAGCCCTCCGGCTGCGCCGTCGCCCGACCTGCCAACACTTCCGCCTATGCGGCCGCCTATGCGGGCGCAGACGGCGCGTACTCGCAAGGGGCCGGTAGCGCCCTCTTCGCAGCGGCTGGCCGGTTGGCCGGGCCCGCTTCGCCCCCCGCGGGTGGCAGCGGTGGCGGCGTCGAGACTGCAGTGGACTTTTATGGGCGCACATCGCCCGGTCAGTTCGGAGCACTGGGGCCCTGCTACAATCCTGGTGGGCAGCTCGGAGGGGGCAATGGAGGCGCCTACCACGCTCGCCATGCGGCTGCCTATCCAGGCGGAGCGGATCGGTTTGTGTCCGCCATGTGAGCCGAGCATACAGGCGAAAATTCATAGATACCTCGACTGTCTTTACGAACTAAGTATTCACGAAACCTGAGGACAGGACTGGAGAGAGGATCGAGTTGAAAGCCACATGGGAGGGACCGAGCCGGAGGTTCAGGCGCATACTCCCGGTGCACCGTGTACACACCGGTTCGCTTTGAAAATGGGAGGAAGTGGGGAGAGGCATCCTCGGCCCACGGACTGAGACAATGGACCCTCACTGAGGCGAAGCTCTAAAGGTCGTGCCTTTCTGACATTCTACCGGGGAGGGTCCTTGGCTCTAAAGGAGGCACAACATAGTGTCTACACCAGAGTCTAAGGGAATTGTGGAGAATCACATGACTTCACTCTTCCCCGTACTTACCAAAACCCGGGTCTTTTTACACAGTTCCATCTCTTGTGCCTTTGACTACGTTATTACAATAAAAGGCTCCGATAGTGTCTTCCTAGTTAAGGTGAGGAGGACAAATTTGCAAAAGAGGTAACCATTTTTTTAATGGGAAAGATCTCTGCTTCGCTTGACCAGGGGCTGCTTTACCCTGGCTCTGAGTCTGGACGGTGCCCCAGCGCCACAGTGTAACCCAGTTCCATCACTCACACCCCCAGTTTTCCCATCTATAATACAAGAGGGCTGCAGAATTCAACCGTCCCCCATATGAACTTTAAGGGCCCATCATGGTTGTTGCATATCTGGCAGCATGGGTGGGCCACCCAGGGCCTAACCCTATTCCAAGGAATGGAAACAGAGCTCATGGCAAGTATCTCTGGATTAGCTCCAGGCACCGGTTATATCATAATTTCTTGAATCTTTTGAGCATGATGTGCTGATCACTTGGCAGCTATTACTGCTGGGTCCTAAGTGCAGTTTTCCATTGAGGCAGGTAGAAATACATTTGTCCATTGCCCACGCTTTCTTTTCATCAAGCAGCCTGGGACCCAATGGGCGAACTAAAATTCAAAGGGGTGACAGGACTCGAGGGAGCCTGTTGGTGACAGTTTTCATATGGTTGGGCTGGCTCTTCCATCCCTGGTACCCTCTGCCGAACCTTGGCAGCCTCCTCATGCAAAAAGTAAAGAGAAAAATTAATTGGGGCCATCAGTTAAGTAAGCTTTAGAAAGAAACTGGTGTTTAACTTTGCTTTGTATCCTTTATTTGTTTCAAGCAACAAGCTGACCAAAATCAGAAAGAAAAAAAAAATCCAACCATTTCCCCACCTTTCTCTTGAGAAATCTTGTAAGTTTCGATTCTGTAGCAAAAGTTTCTAGCATTAAATATTTCAGAGGCTCGGCGTGCAGCTTTCAGATAAACCTGAGTGTTCAGGTGAACTGTGTTAATAAAGATCTTTGAGCAAGTGAGTTCTGACAAGAGAAATGCAGCCTCTTTCTGCAGAGTTAATTTGCTAGGGAAGAGTGGGGGGGGTGAGAAAGAAGACTGAAAACCACTGGTAATTTTTATTTTTAATTCTGGGGATTGCACTATCCTGTTCACAAAGACATGTGAATGTGATTCAGTCCAGACGGGTATTTGTCTAAATAAGTGCTGCCCAATAGAAATATAATGTAAGCTGCCTGTGTAATTAAAATTTTTCTGGTAGCTGCATTAATTTTAAAAAAAAACAGGTGAGATTAACTAATAATATATTGTATTTAGCCCAATTTAATGTCCAAACTATCATTGCAACATATAATCGATATAAAAATTGTTGAGATATTTTACTTTTTTCATACCAAGTCTTTAAAATCTAGAGTGTATTTTACACTTACAGGTCATCTGTTTGGACTAGCCACAGCCAAGTGCACAGTTGCAGTGTGTGGCTGATGGCTACTGTATTAGACGGTACAGGTCTAGATGTTGGTCCTTCCTGACTTTGATGGTGGTAAATGACCACCTGGAGGAGGGGGCAGCTGCAGCACTGACCCTATTGCCAGTGGGTCCAGATTTCAGACCCAGCCCTGTGACCTTGGAAAAATCTAGGTGTTAGGCCTCCCTTATCTCTGTACTGATCCTTGCAGGTTGAAATTCAAAGGTTCTCCGTGTGCAGCTAGACAGTATGGCTCTCCCAGGCAGAAATCAAGATGCCTTGCCTCGTTGGCACTGGCCAGAAATTGAAAGCCCTCCACCCAGGGGTTTTGTCCTTGTCTTCCTAAAGCCCGGCAGGGGGATTGGGGCTGGAAAAGGGCAGTCTATGAGCCCAGTTAATGCAGCGGTTGAGCCTTTCTCCGTGTTTTAATTACCAAGTCCAATGCTTTGACAGCGCCATTAACGTTAATCCAGTCCTTTCCCTAGTGTCCACATTAGTGAATGGGAATTTGTGACCCCTCCCTCAGAGTCCACCTGAAGTTAAACGAGTTAAGAGGGATAGAAACGCTTTGTAAACTGTAAAGCGCACAGGAGGGAAGAAGGTTTCAACATTTAAGCGCCGCCTTATCCGGAAGTCTCCTGGAGCGTCGCGGTAAAGCCGGGGGAACAAGAAAGACAGGGAGGGAAAGCGCACGCGTCTTCGCCCCCAACTCTCCTTGTCAACTGGGACGACAGGTGAGATCGGCCAGGGTCTGTGCCCTGAGAAAGAGGACGCTGCGAGGAAGGAACTGGGTATACAGCAGGAGCCAGGAGAGACAGCGAGACCCTCGAGGTGTTGAAGAGAGAGCGTCAGCCCTTCTCGGCCTCCTGCCGGCCGGCGACACCCAAAGCTAGTGCGCCACCCGGCCGAGCCAGAAAGGACGCTGCACAGGCGAGGGAGCGCCGCCCTTCATCCACAGCCGGGCCGGGCGGGCCCTCCAGTCCGCGTGGCTCTAGGACATTGAGAACATTCACTCCTGCGTCTTGGGACAGTCCAACACTCCGAATCCCCAAACTGTGAAATAGAATCTCCCCGGCTCCCCGTCTAGGGGCTCAGAGACCGGAGGTGCGTTTCTCTTTTTTTTCTTCCTATCTTGAATCCAGAGAAATCGTTTGCCCCTCTCTGAGCCCTGCACCGCCCCCCCGCGTCGTGTGTAGGCGCCCCCCCCCCCGCCCCAGGTCTGTGAGTAATTAGATGCGTTCCTCCCTAATTGCCAAAGGCTCGTTAGAATTCGCCCCAGAGCTGTAACATTTTCTTTCAAATTAACTTTGCTCGCAATTAAGCTTAGGAAACCAGCAACAAAAGCAGACTTGGCCCGAGGTCGTTTACTACGAAAACGGATTAGGGAAATTTCTTCCCCAGTTTAAGGGGAAAGATTCCTGCGGCCAGAGCTTTGGGGGAAGAGTTCCCACAGCTGAGGCCAAGTGGGAGTAGGAATCGGCTTGCGGCGGTTGGTGACGGCATTGGCCTTCCTCCTCATCGCGGTGATTCGTGCGCCAGAGTGAGGGTAACCTCGCTGAAAGGAATTCAGGAGGGTTTGGGCTGAATTTCACACCCTTGACTTGAAGCTGCCGTACGTAGTTACAGTTCATCCAGCACGTTCATAAACATAATCTCATTTACTAAGAACTTTGTGAGAATTTTTTCAAAATTAATTTTTTTCTTATTACAAAATTGGTACACGTTCATTGTAAAAACAAACAAAAAATACAACTTAGAAAGAAGAATCAAAGGAACTCATAGTTCGCCCAGAGAAAGCACAGCAAACACCTCAGTGAGTATCTTTTCTAGTTTTCGTTTTTGTTTTTCCTTTGCAAGAGGCCTGAGTCTCAACTCTGTCACTAAAATGCTGTGAGGTCTTGAACAAGCTTCTTCCGGCACTGCGTAGGCCTCAGTTTCACCATCTACAAAGCTGGGTGGCAGGTCCCCTTTCACCCTCACAAACTCCCATTTTTTTGGTCATTTAAATCCAGGATGCACTTCTCCAAGTGCCAGTAGAGAAGCTGAGAGCAGGAGGCTTGCCCTCCCTGCTGCTTTGCACAAGACATTAAGGCCCTGAGGCCTTGAAGCTCTAAGTGTGGGCCACAGACTAGCTGCATGGGCATCCCCTGAGAGCTTGCTAGAAATGCAGACTCTCAGGCTCTACCCAGATCTACTGAACCAGAACCTGCAATTCAACAAGACCTCAAGCGATTCATATACCCTGGGCAGAGAGGCAGAGCTTTAGAGAAGCGGGGTGGGGTGGGGGATGTGTTATGTTGTTGAAATCAGAGACCCCAGAATAACTTCCAGAAGGCTCCTGTTTCTCAGCAAGAACCCCAACCAGAGATGGCTGCGGAGAGAAGAGACGGCTAGGGTGCAGCCCTTCACCTCCTCCCTTGGGTGTGCTTTACAGTCTTGGAATCCTAACCCTTGGAATGCATCTCACCTCATGTTCCCTGTCTGATAGGTGACCATGACAATGACATTCACTGAGAGTGTATCTGAAACCATCTTGAAAGCTGGACTGCCAGAGCAGGAACCCAAACTCCTGACTCCCTGCTGAGCCACTGTGGGGACCTTGGGTTCTGGTCTCTGTACCCTCCGTAAGCAGCAGTCATTTGCCCAAGTATGGATGAAACCTGGCAACTTCAACCCCAAGTCTGGGCTTGTTGGAGTTCAGGAGAAAAATAAAGCTCTCTTCTCAGCAGGAAGAGGCCCCCACCTCTGAGTCCATCTGGGCTGAAGGATCCTCCAGTAGAGCATTTAAGTACCCCTCGTACGATCCTGGGCATCCTAATGAATCCTCCTCCACCCCAAACGCCCACACCTTCCTGGAGAATGTGGTCTCTGTGCTCACCCTGCTCCTGAGAAGTGCGGACTCCTGGGTGGGGGTTGGCATGACAGGACAACCGGGGGGAAAAAGGCCCTGATGATAAGGAGCATGTACCAGACTGGGCTCTCTTCCCAGGATCACACAGCAACTCAGTGGAAGAACCAGGACTCTCATCTCAGTGCTCACATGAGTTTTTAATAATAGGAATAAATAGGAATACCATGCGTGCGTATAGAGCTTCTATAGACTAAAGGGGCACAGGACTTACCCAACATCTCACAGTGTCCAAGCCTGGCTAGAACTTATGCCTCCCTCAAGGGAGACTGCATTTGATTATCACCCTCATAAAAGGCAGTGTGGAAATGGAAGTAATCAGACAGGGGTGGTGGTGAAGGTGGGGGTTGAGGGAGGGGGAAGGAGTGCAGCTGCGGGAGGGCCCTCCATTGTATGGATGGGTAAACTGAGCCTGGGATCAGTTAAATAAATTGCTTAGAACCACCCAAAGGGAAAGCAGTGTGACTAGTGCTTTTCAGCCCAAACTGAGCAGTGAACTAAAGGAAAAGAAGGGTCAACAGGTTGGGTGCAGTGAGGATAGGAGGTCTTTAACAAGTTTGGTGCCTGTCCCTACCCTCCTTCCAGCGTCTTCTTTCCGGGCTGAGGCCAAAACCAGCCTTTGCAGAGCTCCTGGGGTGGAAAGGATGACTGCTCCCTGTGGAGCTCCCTATGCCCCTCTGCCAGCCTCACAGCCCCTCTTCTGAGGGCTGAGGCTCAAATTTCCAGCTCAGCCCAGAAGGGTTAACCTGGTGCAGAAGCATGTAGTCAGAGAGGCCCTGGGGATCAACTGTCAGCCCCTCCCAGGGTGAGGAAGGGATTGAGAGGCGGAATCAGGGTGGATCTCAGCCCTGGTGCAGAGCACCAGCTTATCTCACTATCTGAGAACCTGGAGCGGCTTCTCCCAGGAGTGTGGGCAGAGCAGAGCCCCAGCTATGATTTTTCAGGCGTGGAGGCACTCAACAACCAGAGATAACGTGTGAGAAGCACAGCCTCATAGAGCCTAACTCTTGCCTCTGCTCTCAACCCCCAGCAGCTGGCCGAGCCCTCCCCATGGATGCTCCTGCCTCCTCCCTCCATTCTGCCCCCACTGCCAGCCTCACTTCCTGAAGCTGAGCTCCAGTCCTATGGAAGCAGGCTCCCTGCTGTCTGCAACAGAAAGCCCAAACTTCTCACCTGGCACTTGGGACCCTCCATTATCCTTATGCCAACCCTCTTCCCAGCCTCATCTCCCATAGTTGCCCTTCCTACAAATCTAGGCTCCAGCCAACACCCCACTTGCTGTTCCCAGACACCCCTGTGTGTTCCTGTCACCATGAATTTGCTCTGACCATTACCTCTCTAGGAACCCCCTAACCCCATCTTGCACGTCTAAGGCCACCAACCCCGTAGGAGGCCCCATCATCTCTCTCCTGGATCACAGCACCGGCCTCCTAACAGGGCTCCCTGCTCCCTCCACTGCTCTCCTCAGTCATTCCCCACAGCAGCCAATGTGTGGTTCAGCTCAAACATCAGCAGATCACGTCACTCTCGCGCAGAGGTCCAGACCTCAGCACAAGGGAGTGAGATTAGGAGCATGGCATGTTCATGAGCAGCCCCGTGAAGGGTTTCTTACACTATGAGAAAATTATACTTAATATGAGCGCTTTCAAAATTTCCCCCTCCCATGTAACACTTTCCTTTTATCCTAAATTTCATCAAA